AATATGGTACTGGAGGAAGATGTGATTTTCTTTTGGAGGGAGATATCCCCTTTTCTTTGACATATTTCCAAATATAAAAGTGATACATCAAAAATGTATGAAGATAGGGGCCAGGGATTTAGCTCAGTGGTTTCGCCGCCTGCTCCTTAATGTGCAAGGTCCCGAGTTCGATCAACCGGTACCAAAAAAAAAAAAAAAAAATTGGAGTATGTTAAATATGACCAATATGGTACTGGAGGAAGATGTGATTTTCTTTTGGAGGGAGATATCCCCTTTTCTTTGACATATTTCCAAATATAAAAGTGATACATCAAAAATACCTTTTCAAACTGTATTTTTTACCGGCCCCTCCAGAGCTTAAATCACTATTTTCTTTTCTCTACTTATACTATATATAGCTGTGACTGGTAATCTGCAGTCATTTGTAGAGCCTCTTTTTCCTAGTCTAAAACTACCCCCCAGCCCTTTTTTTCTTTATTATAGTGCTGGGGATCCAATTTGGGGCCTTTCACCCACAAAGCAAGCACTCTACCACTGAATTACACCCTCAGCCCGAAATTCACCTCTTTTAAGCATTGGTATACGCATCTGATTCCTAAACTGACGGATCAATCAGTATTGTTTATTCTTATGTGTATACCTATTAATATTTTTGCCACGTCATTTCCAGTTTAACGAGTCACTTTTAAATTCTTTCACATAGAGAAGACTTTCCATTTCCAATGTTTTGTTTTTTTTGTTTTTTTGTTTTTTGTTTTGGTACTGGGGATCAAACTCGGGACCTTGCACTTGCGAGGCAGGCGTCAGAACCACTGAGCTAAATCCCTGGCCCCATTTCCAATGTTTTAGACAGCTAGGCTCTAGTATAGTATATCCATTACCTACCAGACTAGAACCAATATTCCAGGTGTACACCCAGTTTATCAAAGTATGTTTGCAATGCATGCATACTTTAAAAAAAAATTGTGTAATCCCTTCTTTAAATAAATTGGGCCATTTATAATGGTGGCATTATTTGGTCCTCACCACCAGCTTCAGACCAATCTAGTCATAACCAAACACCCAGCCCCTCAATGGCCATCTCAAGGAAAACTGCAGTAATACCAATCACAAGTGTCAATCTCTTGATTACTGCAAATTGAAAACCAGAATCTACTGCAGAGAAAAGAAACTCAATACAGTACAAATGCAACTTCCATGAGACAAATGAGAAAAGCCCATTAACACCTCTTCCCAAACAGGACTAAATTCTAAATTCACAAAAGGTAGGCACAATGTCTTTAAAGCTTTTTTTTTTTTTTTTTGGTACCAGGGATCGAACTAAGGTCCTTGTGCTTGTGAGGCAGGCGCAGTGCCACTGACCTAAATCCCTGGCCTAAAGCTTTTTTTTTCCCCTGCATCTCTATACACAACACATATTCAACACACTGACCTTCTATAATTACAG